TAGGAGACTGAGGTAGGAGGATTACAAATTCAAAGCCAGCCTCAGCAACTTAGCAAGACTCTGTCTCAAAATATTTTATGGTGGACATAAAACAATAACTGAATAAATGAAGAAAAAAAGGCAAACTGTATTATTGAGTGGGAAAGTTTAATMTCATAAAATCAATTCAATCTAAGTTAGTGTTTAAATTTCATGTAATGACAATATGAATCAGGGGAGAAGCCCAAGTCCTGTCTTGGGCAAGATTTACCAGGGCTGCAATTATGAAGGGTGAAAATTTCACCTAACCAAGTTAAATGTTATTCTGACCTGTTTCAGTCACTTGCTGAAATGATTCACAGGAAGTTACCCTGAGACCCAGAGAGAGCGCACCTCTGGTGTGGTCAAAGAGAAATTTTCGGTAGAGCAAGACACAGAGCCTCATCTGATCTACTGGTTCTATTTACCCCTCCTTTTGAGTGCTAATGGGGCAAAGCTTTGTTAAGACAAAGATGATTGATGTCGAATGGAAAATAAGTTACCAGTGCTTCCTTTTAGGGTTGTTCTCTTCCATCATGCGGGAGCTCGCCAACATCTCCCATGAGGGACCTAAGTGGATTTTACTGGATGGTGACATAGATCCAATGTGGATTGAGTCTCTGAATACTGTYATGGATGACAACAAGGTATCAAAGCAAGCAGGGAGGGAAATCCCCATGTCATCCCCAACCATCAATGCAGCCAGTGCTCCATGCCGCAGGTGCACTTGGAAATCTAGATGCCTCACAGTGGCTGGCCCAGGGATTGCAGCTGTTGCTGGTGTCTTCTGCAGACATCTCAGGACTGACTGATTCTGTTCCCACCTTGAACTGCTTCAAGGGCCCAMTTTTGGGATGGTGTTCTGTTTCCTTCAGAAACTTGTGACTGCAGATTCATTTGACATTCAGAGCGGAAAGAAATCATAAATCATCTATTCAAGTCTTTTTTTTCTTCCTCATACTTTTCCTTTTCTAAAAATCAGAAAATGATGGATCAGAAACATTCTGAGCCYGTCAAACTCCCTCCATAGCGGTAAATATCTATCCATTGTGAGCCTGCGTTATTTTTTCATAAAACAATGAAARCTAACTGAACGGCCTGTAAAACGTCTGTTAAGCTGGTAGCTAGACACGTTCAGAAAGCCCATCCACACTGGAAGTGTTCAGATGGCTGCAACATTCACAGAACCATTAGAATAAATGCACACCCTCCCAGTGAGACTACTTAAGAAGGAAGTGCAGAAACTTGAAACTGAAGCTCTTTTCTTTTAATAGTTTTATTATTCCAGAATGGTCTCGTTCACTCAAATTATTGGCACCGATTTACACTGTTTAAATAACTTTTTTCCCTGATTCAACAGACACACAAACACAGAGGATAGAGAGGAAGGAGTGGAGGGGAGATAGGAAGAGAGAAAGAGAGTTACTGTAGAAAATTTAGAAAGTACTTACAATCAAAAAGAAGAAAATAGTCATCTTGACTTTGTTTTATGTTACTTTCACAGAATACTGGAGACTGGGAATTTTATAAAGAAAAGATATTTATTTGTCTCARTTCTGGAGACTAGAAAGTCCAAGATCCAGGGCCCAGGGCCTTTTTGCTGTRCTCATCCCATGGTAGAGGGGGAAGGGCAAGAAAGCATGCACAAGAGAGCAGAGACTTGAACTGCAGCCTCAAGCCCTTTTAAAATTAGCATTGGTCCATTTATGAAGGCGGATGCCTTTTTGTCTCGTCACCTCTGAAGGCCTTACTTCTCAATGCAATTGCATTAGGAATTAAGCTTCCAATACATGCTTTCCAGGGAAACTATTCAAACCATAGAACATCCATAACCCAATCAATAATATTCCACCAAGCCAGGCGAGGTAGCACATACTTTTATTCCCAAGGGCTCGGGAGGCTGAGGCAGGAGGAGCACAAATTCAAACCCAGCTTCAGYAAAAGAGAGGTGCTATGCAACTCAGTGAGAGCCTGTCTCTAAATAAAATACCAAATAGGGCTGGGGATGTGGCTCAGTGGCTGAGTGCCTCTGAGTTCAATCCCCAGTACCCACACCAATAATAATAATAACCCACCAAATCCTCACCAGCTGGCAGTGTGTCCTAATACCTCCCTGATGGGATATCCCTCCTGTGGTTTCCAGGTGCTGACCCTGGCAAGCAATGAGAGGATTCCTCTTAACCCCACAATGCGGCTCCTCTTTGAGATCAGCCACCTGCGCACGGCCACTCCAGCAACCGTCTCCAGAGCAGGTATGGCCCTGCGGGTAAAGCTGCTYAACTGAGATGGGTACTTTGAGCTGGAAATTGGTTTTTTCTGGCTCTAAAGGAAGTCAGAAACCTGCTCATCCAAAACTCCAGCCTAGTTCTCAGGACTCATCCACATTCACAAAGGGAAATGGGCACTATAAGACCAGAGTCAGTGGTTTTGTTTATTCAGAAATGTGGCAATGGGAAGGGAAATAGCCTGCAAGCCGGAAAAATGTCCRCTGCACAGAAGTGTCTCAAATTAGGCTACTTTGAGGCTCATTCTAGCCTCCATGTCAAATCATCATTTCTCATTAAGTCCTCATGGAAAATAGCAACATTACCTTCATTTTCCTGTATCTCTGCTAACTAAATTCATTAGCAGAGCCTAGAGGTTAAAAGAACTGATTTGGGGAAATAATCAAATTTAAAGAAATAGAAAGGAGAATGGTAATTGACAGGCCCTGGGCAGGAGGGCACAAGGGAGATTTTGCTGAATGGGTACAAAGTTTCAGTTATGCAGGGTGAAGACATTTTGGAAGTAATGGATACATTTATTAACTTAATTGTGGTGATGGTTTCACAGGTGGATTTGGGTRTCCCAAATTCATCAAAATAGTTTGCATTAAATATGTACAGTGTTTATTTATTTATTTGTTCTAATCAGTTATATATGACAGCAGAATGCTCTTCAATTCATTGTACACAAATGGAGCAGAATCTTTCACTTCTCTGGTTGTGCCCAAAATAGAGTCATGCCATTTATTCAATCATACATGTACCTAGAGTAATGATGAATGTCTCATGCCACCATCTTTCYTACCCCCATAACCCCTATTCCCCCTCCTCTTTGCCCCCATCCAAAGTTCCTCCACTCATCCCATGCCCCCTCCCCATTATAGATTAGCATCCACTTATCAGAGAAAACATTCGGCCTTTGGTTTGGGGGGATTGGCTTACTTCAGTGTACAGTGTTTTGTATATCAGTTATGCCTAAATAAAGTTGATAAAATAGTTCATCAAATAATAATAAAATAMAAACTCATAACTTTTTGATCTCTACCTCAATATCAGGATCCCCTTTAAGAACCTGGATTAAGGCTGGGAACACAGGTCAGGAGAGTTCTCTCCCACTCTGTTTTAGTTACCTAGTGTCACAGTAACAAGTGTAATAAATCACCATAAACTTGGTGGCTTTCAAACCAGCAGAAATTTATTCTCTCACCTTTCTGCAAGTCAGATATCCAGAATCAAGGTCATTGAGGCTGCACTTCCTCCAAAGGCTGTAGAAGAGTGCCCCCTTGTTTCTTTCATCCACCTTCCATTGTCCTTGGCTTATGTCCCCCATAACTCCAAACCTCTGCCTTCCTCATCTGTATTCATCTCTCCTCTTTTATCTCGTATAAAGACACTTGTAAATGTCCCATCCAGACAATCCAGTGTAACTTCATCACAAGACCTTTGGCTTCATTACATCTATCTGCAAAGACTCCTTTCCCAAATAAATTCACGGTAACAGGTTCCAATGGTTAGGATGTGGTCATATCTTTTAGGAGACCATTATTCAATCCACTGCACTCTCCCACATTATGACAAGTTTTGCTGATCAGTCACAGTTTTCTTTCTTCCCAAGCCTTGACTTGTGGTCTTGGGGTCCTTCTCAACCCAGCTCTTCCTTCATCTGTCATGGATCAGTTGTCCTTGATCCTCAATAGTAAACACATGTGCCCTCTCTGACCAAGGCCAGGTCTCTGTTCTTTTCCTTGGGGAAAGCRTACTTTGACCTGTATGGAATCCTCCGTGCCCAGCATTCTCTTTCCTCCCAGGGATCCTCTACATCAACCCAGCAGACCTGGGATGGAATCCTGCAGTGAGCAGTTGGATTGACCAGAGGGAAATCCAGACAGAGAGAGCCAACCTAACCATTCTGTTTGACAAGTATCTTCCAACCTGTCTGGACACACTCAGAACCAGGTAAGCCCAGAAACAAAGGTAGCCCATGAGCCCAGCCACAGAGAATCCTTGGCTCACAGCTGATGCCCTGCTGATGTTCTGTCCTGATCCCAAAGTCAGAACCCTCCAGGCACAGCAGATGGCAGAGGGGAACACACATTAGGATGGCCACGGAATGCCTATGGTCAGTTCAGGCAAGAGGAGAGGTGAYTGAAGAGAAGGAAGGTTTAAAGTGCCTTTCGTAAGTGCCACACTGGTGTGTATGTACGTGAAGGAGGCAGGTGGCTGTGAGATCAGATGGTAGTCCTGAGACTCAAATCCTTCTGCTCACAAGGAAAGCACCTGTCTCTCCTACAAATGATTCTACAGGCCCAGAAGTGAAGATGACGCTGTCAGGGACACATGGGGCCCGCTTTCTGTTTCTGATTCTGGGTATTCACAGTTCAGGAATTGGGTATAGTTTATCATTTGACCTGTCCTTCTCCACTGAAAACTGGAAGGTCACTTCTGCTCTTATGGTTTTGCAAAAGTAAAAGCAACAAACCCTGATCACCTGTGCGAGTCAGCTCTCCATCACTATCAGGTCATACCCAAAGGACTTAAAATCAGCTACTACAATGACGCAGCCACGTCCATGTTTATAGCATCTCAATTCACAATAGCCAAACTATGGAACCAACCAAGGTGTCCTTCAATAGATGAATGGATAAAGAAAAATGTGTGGTATATATATTCAATGGAATAATTCTCTGCTTTAAAGAGGAATGAAATTATGGCATTTGCCAGTAAATGGTTGGAATTGGAAAATATCATGCTAAAGCAAAATAAGCCAATCCCCAAACACCAAAGGCTGAATGAATGTCTTCTCTAATATGCAGATGCTAATTCAAAATAAGATGGGGGACACTAGAGAAGAATAGTGTTACCTTAGATTAGGTGGAGAGAAGTGACAGGAGGGGAGGGGATATAAGGATAGGAAAGTTAGTAGAATAAAACAGACATTATTACATTATGTATATATATGACTGCATGACCAAAATGATTCTGCAACATGTACACTCAGAAAAATGAGAAATTATGTCCCATCTATGCATAATAGATCAAAGTGCATAAATGCATTCTACTGTCATGTATAACTGATTAAAATACATTTAAAAATATTGAATTTACCCAAAAAAAATCTGAAATAATCAACTTATAAAGAGAAAAGGTTTGTTTTAGCTCACAGTTTTGGAAGTTTCAATCCATGATTAGTTGGCCCCCTTACTTTGAATGTGTGGCAGCACATCATGTCAGGAACACATGGAAGAGCAAAAACCACTCATCTCATGGCTGGGAAACAAAAAAGAGGAAGAGAGTAGGGTCCCCTGGTCCCCTTCGAGGGCATGCCCCAGTGGTCTAAAGACTTCCTTCGTGGCCCTACATCTTAACATTTCTAGCACCTCTCTGGGGACCAAAGCCTTAATTCAGGAGCCTTTAGGGGAAACTCAAGATACAAACTATAGCAGGTACCACCTATCACTCAAATAAGGTTAATGACTYTTAACCAAGAGGATAGTTATTACAGTAAGAATGTTTGATGTGTCAGTATAAAGGGGTTCCCGTGCTTGGAAACCTCTTTCTCTCCCCCTCCCCCACCTCTCTCATTTGATAGATTATTCTATGAACATGACACCCATTCCCATAATTCAGCCAAGAAGAGGCATCAGAAGCTAGTGCCCAAGAGTCTGAGATCCATAGTTTCTGAAGATTCCAAAGTTTGGGGTCGGGATTATGTTTCCAAGAATTTACAGTCCATCACTCAAATTGATCCCTGCCTCCTTATCCCTGGGCCTGTCAAGCACAAGATAGGATTGTGGCACCAGTTGTCCAGTCACCCACAAACGCAGAGGCAGAGGAAAGGGAAACCCCATACTGCGATGGCAAGATAAAGGGCCCCAGGCCATCTACTAATCCACCCACATTAGAAGTGACCTTTGTATCAATAAAACTGAATTGTAATCTAGTAGTTGACACAGTGTATTTTTTTAAGAGAGAGAGAGAGAGAATTTTTTAATATTTATTTATTTATTTATTTTTTAGTTTTCTGCGGACACAGCATCTTTGTTTTTGTATGTGGTGCTGAGGATCGAACCCGAGCCACATGCATGCCAGGCAAGCGTGCTACCTTTTGAGCCACATCCCCAGCCCCAATGTAGTGTATTTTTTATATGCTTTTATATTTCAGGGTCAATAATTTTTTTTCCAAATGTCGGTATCTTTTTCAAGGGTTTGGAAAGCTTTCAGCCCCTGATCACCCATGGACTCTAAAGCCTTGGAGTCTAATGCTTCCCTAGTAACAAGCAAATTCTGAGTGGTGGCTATAGTGGGCAAGCAAATGAGCAAGGTCAACATGGGCTATAACACCAGATTAGGGTAAGGCTTTAGGAAAGCAGTCCACCCTTGCTCTTTATCTTTGATTGGGACACTTGTCAATACAGTCTTTAGCAAAAAGTCAGGCTATCCCCACTGTCTGCATTTAAGATGAGAGATGCCAAAACTTTTGTGTATTTGCGTATGTGTGTGTGTGTGTGTGTGTGCACGCGCACATGCATGTGCATGTGCACCTTGCACATCTGTGCTGGCACATACACAAGCATTTGAACAAGCCTCAAAGATCAACTGTCTTAAGTCTATGCAGACTGGCCCCCCAATTGTTGAAATCTATGGTTATCAGGGAAGAAGAATAGTTGTCATTCATGGGTGCCCGCTTTGGGGTATTATTTCATTTTTTTCTCCCAGCTCTCTGAAAAGGCTACACATGAGGGAGCAGAGCTCTGTGATGTGGCAGTTAATAAGGAACAGATGCTTTTACTTCAAGGCCTTACTTCTATTTTATAGAGACACAGTATCCTGATGCTGGTTTTATGCCACCCTGTTAAAATAAGCTGTGCAACGTCAACACATATTAATTATTTTATTAGACAAGGGCTGAGTATAAATCGACCTTACCTTGTTTTTTCATTGTTCCCTCAAAACCATTTTATGTGGTTTGTTCTCCTCCCACCCTAGCTGAGATCTAAATCAATGTCCACCATTTTCTGGCCACTTGTAGTGTGTGTGTGCATCTCTCTCTCTCTCTCTCTCTCTCTCTCTCTCTCTCTCACACACACACACACACACACACACACACACACACACACACACACACAAGTCCAGGGAAAATTTAAAGAAGCAAGCCTCATCTACAATGGAAGCTTCTGCCTTGCCATGCAGCTGAATGGGAAAGGGGAGTATTCTCACCTCTTTTTCTGGTTTCTCAGAAATTTTATATCTTCTGATTTCTCAGGGTTGAAGGGTACAGAGAGACAGGAGAAGTATCACTTGGCTACACCTGTGTGGCTATGGCTATGATAACTACAACAGATCTTAAAATCTGATGCCTTCTCTTTGGGGGATTTTGGGAGTTCTGTGGATCCCTCCCCATCACTAAAGATCTCTCATCTGCATTCCCTGAAGAAAGTTTGTGCCTCTCCTTCATCCAGTCGTGAGCTACTCCTAACAAAAACCTCCAGTACCTCATCCTTCCAACAACCCCATTAGCCAGCCTCTCAAACAACCCCACATGCATGCAGCTCACACTTGGATTCCAGGAAATATTCATTCCTGTTTGGCTTTAATAGACTGGAGCTCAAGCTGCCGCAGCAAGAAACCTCTCTACACACYACTGTGAGTTCTACAAAGCTTGATGGGGCTTACTGGGGAAAGTAAACCAGCCTAGTTCAGTTGAAGTTTCTTTGCCCTGTCTCTCTATGTGGGCAAGCCCAGCCTTCCCTATAGGGAAGGTTGCACTCACTACATGCCAAAGCTCTCTCCAAATCCTGTATTTGTATGTACAGCCTCCCCCCAGCACCTCCCACTTGGATCCTCAATACCACTGAGAAGGTAGAAAGGTCAGGGTTGCGAAACCTTTTTGCAAGTCCCACCTAGGTTGTCTGGACTCTCATTGGGGACTGTATGGGTTCCTGGAACCCACTATTATGGTACCTTACCCAACACTGAGCCTGAGATGGTTTCCTTTTATCGCCTATTAGAAATATGCATTGGAAAATTGAAGGACAGACCATCAAGGACTAAGTTTTCTCTTTACTCATAACACCTAGAGTATTATATGGTAATAACATTATGGTAAGGATAAGAAGTAGACAGGGCAGAGGGGGTGGTAGGGAAAGGGAGGGGGCAGGGGATTAGCAAGGATGGCGGAATGTGATAGACATCATTATCCAAAGTACATATATGAAGACACGAATTGGTGACAACATACTTTATATACAACCAGAGATATGAAAAATTGTGCTGCATGTGTGTAATAAGATTGCAATGCATTCCGTTGTCATTTATTTTTTTTTAAATCGATTTTTAAAAAGCAGAAAGCTAACCAAAGATTAAAAAAAGAAGAAGAAGAAGAAGTAGACACAAACACAAAACATTGATGAGAAGAGCACACTGGGCCACTTGCAGGCCCAAGAGTAGTGAGTGACTTCTACAGTGGCAATAGATGATGATGTTCATCTTGTGACACAGACCCATTCCCTGGGCAGCCTGGGTGCACAGACTGTGATAGTGTGGGTTGAGTGTGTGATTCTGTGGTGTACACCCTATGTACACATGCAGGGAGAGAGTACCCAGGGACAGACAGGTTCCTATGTGCAATATGTGTGTGTACCTATACACACTCCTGGTTCCTTGGGCATAGGATGTCTTTTGCGCATCTCTTGATATCTGCCTTTCAGTTAAGACCTTCAAAGTCAAGATCTAAAGTACAAATAGAAGACCAGGAGAAAGTCACAGAAGGAGCATTTTCAGATAAGGAATTCCATTCAGTTCAGGATTATATAAAAATCATCCTTTCTCCCTGTCCCCTCCACTATCCAGACAAGACTCTGGCCCCAGAAACATGTTTCAGTGTGTTGGAAGAAAACCACTGAGGAAAAGATGTGAAAGAACAGACCTCAAAATTGTTCCCAAAAGTGCCTTTTCAGGTCCTTTTGGACAATGTTGTCCCTATTTTTATTGGTACAGTATAATTATGCATAATAGTGAGATTTGTTATTATATATTCATGCATGTCCTTTTTGGCCATTGAAGAAATTAAAAGAAGAGTGAAAAAAGTGAGATGTTGACTTGTTTTGTTGCATTCACTTTCCTCAAAGACTGAGAAGGGATGGTCCATGGAAGGAGCAGAAAAGAGAGAGGGACAGGGAATCAGAAGAAAGAAAGATGAGAAATGGAAGCTTCTTAGTCGATCGCCAGGCCATTGCTTCTTTTCAAAAGAAGTTGACCCAAGAAAATAACTGAGGACAGTAAGGCTTGTGTGACATCAAGGTCCTCTGTAACCCCCAAAGAACTTGACCAGTCCTGAGTCCCCTGAAGCCAAGGGGATTCCATAGTTGTCCAATGGCTCTTCTAGAATGGAACATCCATAGTGTTTAAGAGCATGTCCTGGTCTTTCTTCACAGATTTAAGAAGATAATTCCAGTCCCAGAGCAGAGCATGGTTCAGATGGTGTGCTACCTTCTCGAATGCCTCCTGACCAAGGAGGACATCCCTGCAGACTGCCCCAAGGAAACCTACGAGCTTTATTTTGTGTTTGCTGCCATCTGGGCTTTCGGTGGAGCAATGGTTCAAGATCAGGTGAGAGGATGAACTGAGGTTAACCTTCACGTGGAAATGTGCAGCGGCAAAATCAGACCCTCCATCCAGAGTTGGAAGACAGGAAAGTTTCATGTTGGAATTAACAGAAAAACATTAGACTCTAGTTAATTACCATCTGCTCTGCTGCCAAAGATGTCAGTGTCTGTACAGGGGTGAGCCAGACAAGGTTGTGGTGTGTTTGGGGCTGTTGCCTTTTGAGTTAGTGAATGTACCTCTGCTTTTGTGGAAAGGTGTACAGTGTTGGAGTCTGAACAACTTCTGGAATATGTATACAACTTTGCCAGGTGATGGGTGTTTTATAGAGAGAGAGGTGGAAGGATGCCGTGCTGTAGGAACTCCAGTGGAGGGAATACCTTCAGCATTCTAAACATCTTCCAGAGGATGCACTGCTCTGTACCAGATCAGGGCTAACCAGCATGACCCCACAGCCTCAAAACACAGGGCTGTCCAAGGAAGGCTAGACCAAATATTCATTGGCATCTAGGAGTGAAAAACCAAAGCAGTATTTAGCTCATGGTGTTTATTGCTGTAACCTCAAGCTGTTTGGGGACAGGGATGTGGGCTTAGAACATCTTGACATCCTATCTCCTAATCCTTCCTGCGTTTCAACCTTTTTTCTTCACCTATAAATAATCTAGAGCCATAGCACCTTGAATGCACCTGATCCTGTCTTTATTTATAAATAAAACATATTTTACCTAGAAACAACATCTTCCAAGATTCTGCATACAAATCTCTTAAAATTGACTCTAGCTACCATGTAATATCATATAGAGGATAAGAAAGTGGACTCTGTTAGCAAAGTTTTAAGTATACAATGGGCATGGTGATGCTCACTTGTAATCCCAGCAGCTGGGGAGGCAGGAGATTGCAAGTTCAAAGCCAGCCTCAGCAACTTGGTGAGGCCCTAAGCAACTTAGCAAGAGTCTGTCTCTAAATAAAATATTTGTAAGAATGGCTGGGGATGTGGTTCAGTGGTTAGGCACCCCTGGTTTAATCCTCAGTAGCCCCCCCCCAAAAAAAAGCATACAATAAGTTATTGTTAACGATAAGAACCCCTCTGTACATAAGAGTCATTTATCTTAAACTTAGTCATCCTGAAATTTTGTACCCACTGACCAATACCTTTCATTTCCCCTAACCCCCAGCTCCTGGCTACCATGATTCCATTCTCTGCCTCTGAGTTTGACTATTTTAGATTCATCATATACATGGTGTCAGGTGGTATTTGTCTTTCTGTGTCTGGCTTATTTCACGGAGCATGATGTCTMCTAGGTTAGTCCATGTCACCTCAAAGAGAAGGCTTTCCTTCTTCTCTAGAAAAAAAAACTGTGAAGACTGTAGATTTTTTTAGTAGACTTATCATAAACAATAACAAAATCAACAATAATAAATAAAGCTGGAGAAAATTTGAAGATGATGGTAGGTTTATGCATCATTGTGGTAATGGTTTCACAATTGTATAATCATCTCCAAACCCATCAAGTTGCATGCATTAAATATGTAATGTCTTTTGTTTATCAATCATACCACAATAAGGTGGTTTTTAAAAAACAACCTAAACACACACACACACACACACAAAAAAAAAAAAAAACAGAACAAAAAACCACCATGGACTATGGCTTTGAATTGTTACTCTGCCACTATTACCTGGGAAACCAGGGGCAGGAAATTTAGCCTCTCCCTACTTTATTCTTCCCATGTGTCCAAAGGATGAGGACAAGGTAGCCCTTTCCTAGGATGATGGTGAGGATTAAGTGAATGCATGCTGTTCTAATCACCCAACATGAACACGTGCAAAGCTCTTAGAACAGAGCTGGCATGCATATGTGCTTATTGCTAATATTCTCCTCACATAAATATTCATTTTTATASTAAGTGTCTGGTGCCTCTCTCTCTCAACAGGGGATCAGACCAAGTTGCAGTTTTKGGAAAGTTATGATTTTTCCCTTCTGGTCTGGGTTGATTGTGAGGCTCTTTCAAAGAAAGGCAAAAAAAAAAAAAAGTTTCAGCCTTGCAAGGCAAAGTTATGCTTGAGAAATTCAAAAGGGAAATAAGCTGGGACCAAAAGAATTATCAATTAACTTCTTTTGCCTTTTTACAAGCTCTGGTTCTAATACTCACCCATCTGCCCCATCATTCCCTAATGTGTCCTTTAGAAAGCAGTTATCATAGTGTCTCCAGAAGTGTACCTTTCCCCAAAGGGCACAAGGATGCACAAACCAGGAGTTTGATATCTGAGAATTTTGTGCAGAATTTTCTGCAGTCTTTGCAGCTTTTCTGTTGTCAGCTTTACATTCCCCTTAGAGCAAGGAGGTGAAGGGTCCAGCAGAATGAATGAGACTTGGCTGAACATCACAGGAATCTCGAATGCATAGCTTATTGCTTCCCATCAAATTCAGTCTCCAACCTTTCAGTTGATGAAATGTCAGACAGCAACCAGGCTTCTCTTCCATATTGGTACCAACCAGGCAGCGGGGTAGCAGGGTGAAGAGTCTTGGTCCGTTTTTCTATCTCTGTATTGAAAACTTTGAATGCATTCCACTGCTTGTTAAAGCCCAGGAGAAAGCATCCCCCCMACCACCACCCGTTTCCTGGGCTCTGGAACACTTGGAGCTGCAGGCAGCCATGTTGGCACCTAGGGAAAGGACACAGGAGAAAGCTTTTAGCAGCAGGGAATGTTCAAGCCCCCTGCACAATCTGCATTAAAGCAAAACATCAAAAATAGTGCTGAAAACCAGAGTTAGGAAATTGGCCAAAATATTGGCATCAGGGACACCAATGGTGCTTACAGTTTAAAAGTTGTGATTAAAGCAAGGTGGAAAGACAGAAGAGAACTGCCACTCAGCAAAAGAATCATTAAAAAAAAAAAACACTATCCTGGAAAAGTACTTTGCAACAGCCATATAAAATGAACTCCCGGAGGCATATGGTAGACGGAGCACCAGATTGGGAGACTGAAAACCTGGGTTTGATTCCCAATTCTGCCTTTAAATAGAAAATTGGGATAATTTTAATTAGCCAGCATAATTCAGAGCATCATGACRATCAAATGGGTTGAAATTGGTCCTCAAACTCTCCGATAGTGTACCAGTAAAGTCTCAGCATCATCCAGGTTAAAGGGAGAAGGAAGCTGGGCTTGGTGGTGYACACCTGCAATCCCAGCCACTCGGTGGCTGAGGCAGGAGGATCACAAGTTCAAGGTGGCAATTTAGCAAGACTCTGTCTCAAAATAAAAAATAGAAGGGCTGAAGATGTAGATCAGTGGTAGAAGGGCCCCGGGTTCCATCCTTAGTACTGCGATGTAAACACACACACACACACACACACACACACACACACACACACGAGATGGGGAATTCAAGAGGAGTTCCTAACATCCATTGCTGGGGGGACGGGGAAGCCCATAGAGATGAATTGAGAAAGAACCATTGACCAACCTAGGTGTCCATCAAGGGATGAATGGATAAATAAAATGGGGTTCATATGCACAATGGAGTTTGTTCAGCCTTAAAGAGGAATTAAATTATGTCATCTACRGGAAAATGGATGGAATTTGGGAGCATTATGTTAAGCAAAATAAGCCAAACTCAGAAAGTCGTTGGTGGAATGAAGGGGCAGGGGCAGGGAGGGGAAGAATCTCATGAAAATTGAAGGGAGATCAGTAGAGTGGAGGAAAGGGACCAGAGAGAGGAAGGAGGGAGGGAAAGTGGAAATACTGCACAACGAATCTGGACAAATTATATTATTATATTGTTTGCATGTATGAACATATAATAACAAACCACACCATTACATATAGCCTAATGCACCAATAAAAAAATATGGAAAAAGAAAAGAGAAAGAACCACTGGGTCTGCTCAGCAATCACCACCTGTCTTTAAAGGGTCCACTTTTAGCAGAAACTGAGGTCCAGTGCCCGATTACAGGAGGGTTAGATGATGCTAGTGTGGCCCAGCTAACAGCTTGCTTAAGAAGCTGACCAGGTCGCTCAAGGTGGACTCAAGAGTGAGGAAAGGAACATAATTTCATATCCTGTCTCTTTCCAGAAGTTTACAGTCTCCTTATAAACCTAAAATCAGCTTTTCATAGGAAGATCTAAAATGGAGGTTTTTCCCTAGGCTTCTGCTTAGAGAGAACAATATTAACCAACTACAGTGTCCCCTTCATCTGAGTTAAAATCAAAATCACAACAGCAAATAAATCTGTCCATCTCTAAGGGCCTATTTCCATTCTCATTTTAAAGCAAAAGAATTCAATCCTACTTCATTAACAGACAGCAAAAATGAGGAGGATACCTTCGTCAGAGTCCAGATTTCCTCCCATGGACCCAGCTCCCTGGTCTGTCCAGCTTTTGACCCCTTTGTCTTGTCCTCTGTATATATTTCCTACAATGCCCAATCTGGGCCTCTTTCTTTTGTGGGATTTTTCTTATGTCTCCATGTTTTAAGGGTGGGTTTGCTCTCCTAGAGGATTTTCAGGGGCAGTGGGAATAGGGTGTGTGTGTGTATGTGTGTGTGTGTGTGTGTGTGTTTCAGCTTAGAGATGATAGGACAATTGGATCACACAGATCTATCTTTTAGGGGTTCATCATCTATATTAAGGCATGTGGATTATATGCCTCTACCTATTCCTTCTGCCACCCCTTACTCCCCCTCCCCCCCAAAAAAAGTATAGCTTTATCTCCTCGATTGCTCCTAGATTTCAGAATTTTAGCTCTGGAAAGAATCTCACAGATTGTCTTCTGTAAGACCCTTATTTTATAGTTGAGGAAACTGAGGCACAGAAAATGGTGTCCTGCAGTTACATACCCAGCTCCCTTCCTGAGACTCTTCTTGCTCCCCTGCACTGTGCGCCCAAAGTGTCAGCCGTCACCTCTGATGGCCATCCTGAAAATTGCTCAGTCTCCGGTGTCTAGGAAGATGGGAGCCAGTCTCTGTCTTCAGGAACTCTTGGTATCTGCTTGCCTTCCTGTGRCCAAGGGTGCCCACTCTTTTCTGTGTTCTTACACCTTCCTTCCTCTGTACTCTAGGATGACTAGAACAAGTGCYGGTGCCAGAATGGCTCAGCAACATGGTCACGCAAGGGCACTTGTACACATTTATCTTAGCCCATTTTCTATTGCTATAAGTGAATGCCACAGGCCAGGTAAGTTATAAAGAATAGACATTTATTTAGCTCACAGTTCTGGAGCCTGGAAAGTCCACAAGCATGCTAGCATTAGCTTGGCATCTGGTGAGGGCCTTCCTGTTGCATCGTAGCATGGCACAGGACATCACGTGGCAAGACAGAAAGAGTATGCTAGCTTGGGTCTCTCTTGTTCTTTTTACAAAGTCATGAAGGCCATCATGGGGCTCCACCCTCATGATGTCATCCAATCCCAATTATCCCCTAAATCCTTGACTAYAAGCACCTTTCATATATAACTTTGGGGATTAAGTTTCCAATACATTAAATCCCACCTAAATTCTGGGACTCACACCCAAACACAACCATGCTCCAGAGCTGTAGCCCCAGGGCAGCCCCTGCACACCTGGGGTTGTCAGGGCTGATCCTCAGGAAAGGACCATCCTTCCTGGAGGAATTGGTCCATGCAGAACGTCAGTACAGTCAGGAGCTCTTTGTGTCCCTACCCCAACCTCTGTCAATGCCAGAGCCACCTGCTTAGGCTTCTTGAGCTTTAGAGGACCTCGTTGTCTGACCTGCTTTGCTTTTGCAGCTTGTGGACTACCGGGCAGAGTTCAGCAAATGGTGGGTGACAGAGTTCAAGACAGTCAAGTTTCCTTCCCAGGGAACCGTCTTTGACTATTACATAGACCCAGAGAMCAAGAAATTCGAGCCCTGGTCCAAGCTCATCCCCCAGTTTGAATTCGACCCCGAGATGCCTTTGCAGGTGAGTGTGGCTGAGCAGCCAATGACGGGCCCTCTCCCCTGAGGATCCGCAGCACATTTCAGTGGTCATCTTCTCCTGGTACCCAAGAGTTTGACCTTGCTAGGAACCTGTGGGCCCCAGCTACATGCATTTTCAAATTATAGCTATAATGAAGCCACAGGCTCCCCTAAAGAGAGCAAACAAATACTAGACCCACCTAGCATCCAGAGAAGAAGAGATGGTAGGGCCAGAAGATTCTATAATACATTCGAGAGGCCACAGGGACACAGAAGAAAGCAATAGGTAGAGATGGGATGCTCCTACTGAACCACAGAGAGCCAAGAATGAGTCCAGAGGCTAGACTTACTGCTGATATCAGGAAAGACCCTCTGGCCCTTATTTGTTGAGCTCTGCTGTGACAGAAGCCCCTCTTCTGGACTGCTCCAAAACTTGTGTGCTGCTGCACCTGTTTCTCCCTCCAGCCCCTGGCATGCTCTCATGTTTCCTTTACAGGCTTGTTTGGTGCACACCAGTGAGACCATTCGAGTGTGCTACTTCCTGGAGCGGCTCATGGAGCGGCGGCGGCCTGTCATGCTGGTGGGTCCAGCCGGCACCGGCAAATCCGTGCTGGTGACAGCTAAGCTGGCCAGCCTCGACCCCGAGGAATACCTGGTGAAAAACGTGCCTTTCAACTACTACACCACGTCGGCCATGCTGCAGGGTAAGGGGCTCAGAGAGKGCTGGGGCGTGGGGTGTCTGTCACCTGACACGGGCTGGAGCAGATTATCCTGTGACCACTTGTGGGACATCCTGCATGCACCAGCCCTGCATATTTCCTCCCAAATGCTCCTTCTCACCTCTCCTCTCCTTCCTCTGTCCCACTTTTCCAACACTGTCTCTTTCCCTGCCCTTTCTCCCCACATTCCTCCCTGGCCTGTTGACTTCCTCCAGKGTCAGGTGTTCAGGACAGAGTCCTGCAGTATCCTGATGACACAGCTGAACCCCACTGAAGATCTGCATGGATTTGCAGACTGCAATCCCTGGAAGTATCTCTAGGGATCCTTTGATCCACCCCTTGTATCTCATAGGTGGGGAAACTGAGGCTCGGGTAAGAGGATGTATGACCCAAGGTCACCACCAAGAGGCAGGGTGCATGACACACCCAGTCCTCTGAATCCACCTGGAGAGCGTGCCCTTCACCACATGTTTACACACTGGGCTCTGAATGGGGATGGGACCTCCAGGTGTGACTTCAGGCTCTGACGCTCACTGCAGAGGTTTTCCTCCCCCTCTAGGTGACGCAATTTCCGGGATGGCAGTCAGGGGTGATCGTTGACACCTGGGACACAGTGCAATTGAGTTAGAAGAGCCTTAATTCTCTATTATAGCAGGGTCTCCTTTTTTGACAGAAACACTCAACACGTGTGGGGTCAGCGTCTTGTCACTGTGACCAAAATACTTGACATAAACAATTTAGTGAAGGAAAAGTTTAATTTAGCTCATGGCTTCATAGGTTTCAGTTCGTGGTCAGCTGATTTCCATTGTTTGGGGCCTGAAGTGAGGCAGGACATCATGGTGGAAGAGCATGGTGGAGGAAATTGGCTCAGTTCATGGCAGACACAATGGTAGCTGGGGGTGGAAAGAGACTAACTTTTAGGGCACACCCCCAGTAACCTACCTCCTCCCACTAGTTAGTACCTCCAAGTAGTCCATTCATCTATCGATGAATCAGTCCATTGGATGGAGGTCAGAGCCCCCATATTCTAATCATGGCCTAAAAACCCTACCTCTGAACCTTCCTGAATTAACTACTATGGTTACACAAGATATTGGAGTATGCTCCAGATCCATATCATAGATATTAACTAAAAACAGCTCTCTTGTGAAGATACATCTGAGCCAATCTTCCAACCAAACGAGGGGAGAAGTAAAGCAGGGGATAAACGATAAACTGATAAACCCTATCCTTACTTTCCAAACAGCAACAGCCCTGCCCCATCCTCTGTTACTTTGCCTGATCTTTCAGGTGATGCTACAGTAGGTTCTTATGCCTTAATGCAAAATTCATCAAAAGTAAGACATTYCATATACAGTTGTTTGCAAGACTGATCCACTTCAAGCTATGGTTTATAACATGGAAGGTGAGCATGGGACTTTTTCTCTCTTACTTTATTATCCAAGCCTTGAGCCAACAGACTTGCAAAACAGGCTTCATTTAGACCAAACTTGCTCAGCCTGGACTACTTTGCCCAGTCTTTCTATGATCTCTGCAGGTGTGAGCCCCAGGTCAACAAACAGTGGTGCTATAGTTTTGTCTCAGCTTACACTCTAGTTCCACCAGCTCCCACGGGAAAGACAGCTCACTGTGCTACCCTCCTTCTGCCCAGTTTTGCCAGCTCTTCCAGAATCAGGGTCTAGCCAGCTCCAAATGTTGAAAGGTAGCCGCATTGACTTTGTTCTCTACATCTTTCAGTAGTGAAGTGCCTGACTGTATTGACATAAGTTCATGCCACCAACCACTTCCCTGTAGTGACAGTGAGACATCATCACCTCTGTCTCAAACTAGCTGCTGGGCTTCATCTGCTGTGGGGCTGGTAAAGGTCACACAAGGCCTGTCTCAATCCAGCAGTTCATTGTAGCTCCAACATGAGTGTTAACAAGCATAAGTGAAATGATTGAAGGCTCATGTTGGAATTTYGCTCATTTGTCAAAGAGGTGAGCCTCTTCCATCTGAATTCTAAAGGCATAGTTCTTCAATTCTTTATGTTCTTCATAACTGTAACAGCTACAGATATGATGCACTTTTACATTTATTCTGCATTATTAACAATTTCCTCTATCATGATCTCGGGTGTGCAAACCAAATCAAGCCCTTATTTGTAGCATTTACCCATTTCTGTGGTGTAAATAATCCCACCRTGGCCAATTGTAAGCTACCCATGCAATAGCAGTCTACACAGTGTCGGGAAGACATGTACCACAGCATGCCATTCTAAAGTGTTTTCACTTTAGGTATAATAGATGGAAATAACCTCAAGGGCATAGATAATGAAAAAATATGGTAAATTAATTAGGTTGTKATGAGTTTTGAATATTTATCATCATTGCTCTTAATGTAATTTACTTGATTTCATGTTTATTAATTTATTTTTGAAATAACAGCCTTAAAAACCAGGTTACAATATTCCTTTGGTTTCGCCAATCACCTCCAGGAAACTTCTGGTTTCATCTTTACCCCATGAGGTCATCATGCCATGTGATGTCATGATGTGGTTGGTCACTGTCACCTTAGCACCTAGCCATGGGGGGTAAGAAGWCTTGATGGTTCAAATATGAACTGTCTGTCTGCCTCATATAGTTATTCTTTCTTTTTCAAGGAAACCTCTTTGTAAGCCTTCAGTACAACAACTGATTCTATTACCAACTCTGCTGATTTCTCCCATTCGAACAACTGCTACACCTGCACTCACAGTTATCAACATTCACTGGGTGTATGCCAGGCATTCACCTGGCTTTAGACTTTTACACACCATTTTTTATATACTTATTTAATCTTATTGGGCTCTGGGAAATAAATACTTAAATTGCCTCATCTTATAGATGAGGAAACTGAGGCACAGAGAAGTTCAATAAGCTACTGTGCTGCATCCAGTAGCTGGACGAACAAGGCTCTGAACCCAAACTGTCTGACTCCACAGTCTGTGCTCTGAACCACCCAGCTCTGCTGCCTCCCTCCTTTGGTAAGAAAGTACCGGAAAACACAACAAATATCAGATATTATGTTATCATTAGTAGTACTGTTCAAGTTTTCCAGCACTGTTCAAATATTCCTATTAAAATGGTTTCATAATGTAAATAAATAAATAAATTTAAATAGAAGGTACAAATTTTAAGCTAAAGAAGAGGAAAGTAATTATTCACTCTGCCTGGGCCTGTCATTCTCAAGGTCTTGTCATTCTCTCTAACCTAGAGAAAATTTTTCTTTCTTCTTGTGGAATATAGGAGAATTATTCAACAATGTCCCCAAAATGCTTTCAAATAGAGCCAGGATGAAGGTTGGCTGTCACTGTAGCTAGACATGCAACATAACAGCACTTTTTTTTTTACATTTTTTATTGGTGCTTTTTAGTTATACATGATAGTAGTGACACTTTCTGTCCCCCATTAATTCCCTAATGGCCTCTTCACARAATTACACCTTGATGTCATCCCGCCTCTCATACCAGGGGAAAGAAAAAGTAGACTTCCAATGACTTCCAGAACTAACTAGGAGCTGCAGAGGCAGCCAAAGCCCTAGAGTAGACTGCATATGTGTCCCAAGGCCATGCAGCAAGAGAAATGCTGTGTTCCCTTACCTGGGGCCTCCTTCTTTCTGCTTTATCGTAGTCCAATCTTGATTATATGGCTCCKTCGCCTGAAATACTTTAMGAGCAAAGAAATGGCAGGAGAAAGRGTGCTACCAACCCTTAGAAAAGGGGGAGCCCAAATCCAGTATYAAGAGGGAATTTTTGGAATTAAGAGGGGAGAGGGAGGGAAAGACAGAGACAGAGAAAGAAKGAGCTCMAAAGATAGCTGTTCTGGTATCATTCAGCAAAGAGGCGAACTAGTTCATCTGTCTCATGAACCTATCACTCTTTTTCCAGCCCAGTGTTTTAGCTGYTGTTTGTACATAAGACCCTGTGTATTTAAGAAAAGACTGAATGTGACATGGCATAGTCTGCTTTAAAAGACAGGTAGCACACCCAGATGGAAGTGCCAAATGYGTGTTTATAATGTGTCTGTAATGAGAGAAGATAGGAAAGGGCCTAATTATTCATTTGACGGAATACTTAACAGTATTCCAAAGAATGAGAAGATTCTGTATGCTCTGAGTTGGAGCTATTTCCAAAGTTTTGYTGAGAGAGAAAATAAAGATAGAGAGAAATCTACGTAGTATATTTCAAATCGTATTTTGTTTAAAAAGAAATATAAAAGTGACTCATATATTATTTTTAAAATACATATATATGAATTTACATATATGCAACACACATACATATAYTCACACACAAACTTATGTCTACTTACATATTTATACTTAGATATCTCCAGGACATTTAAAAAGCTGGTAACAGCAGTTGTCCCTGGCAAGGGGAACTAGACATTGAGTGGGATGGGTAATTACTTAAACTTTTTTTAAAACTATGAAATATTTCAAGTGTGCAGAAAAAGTACAGAAAATGATATAACAGATGCCCTTGTACCACTACCAAGATTTAACAGATGCTAAAATTTTGTCATTTTTGCTGTGGTCTTAGTATTGTAAGTACAGCTGATCTGCTGCCTCCATCCCTTCGTCCATCCTGTTCCTCCTTAACGAGAGTACTACAGTCAGTATGCATCATGCCATGCTTAAATTTTTGATACACGTATTTGCTCACTAAATATACAATGTTGTATGTATTTAAGTTTTAAATAAAAATTAGTATCTACTTTGACAGCTTACTTTTAAAATCAGTGTTTTGATACATGCAGATCTACTTTGTTTATTTTTGCTGCGAATTTCATTGTGTGATTATTAAATCACAGCTCATTTATCCATTGTCCTGTTGAAAGGTAGCATCATTTTCTACACATTTTTCTTTTTTAAAAAAAGAATTATTGAATTATAACGGACACACAATAAACTACATATATTTAAAGTGTACAATTTGATGTTTTGAAATATACACCCACAAAATC